GCCTTTTTTGGTACAAACTCAAAAAGAACAAATTCATATAGGAACTACATTGAAAATGCCAGTGGGACTTTACGAAAAAGATAATCTTTTTTTTTTTCTTCTTTTTGCTCCAAATGCCTTCAGGGCAGGTTTGGCTGGCTTGAGTTGTGGGGATCAAACCACAGCAACCTGAGCCTGAGTGCTTTGTTGATGCAGCCACTTAAAGAACTGAGCTATGGGGCAGGCCCCCGAAAAAAATAATCTTATTACATGTAAGGCAGTATGTACACAAGACAACAGCATGTTCCATAAGCACATATCATTTACCTTAGCACATGTGTTTTGCCTTCCTGTGCTTTTTGTATGACATGCTTCACATCTCAGTGGTCTTGCTGTTTTGTCAGGAGGTTCTCGCTATACTATGTGTTAGTTTACAGGAACATAAACTATCAATAAAAGGGGCCGGCCAAATAGCTCAGCGGATTAAAGTACCTGCAAGCAGGTGCAGGGGCCAGGGGTTGGATCCCTGGGGTGCACTGAGATGGCAGTTGAGACTGGACATGGTGGCGCATGCCTGTAATTCCAGCTCTTGGGAGGCTATAAACAGGTAGATCACTACGAGTCTGATCTAGTAGTGAGACCCTGAACACCCTATAGACCCTTCCCTAAAACACACCAAAAAAACAAAGTATCAATAAAATATTAAGAACTTTTTATATGTATTGTATATTTGGAATATCAGCATTTTCACTTCAGCTGTGTACTTGCTTACAAGACCTAAAAGATTATAGCATCAGAAATGAAATCCTGTGCAAACTGCAATGAAAATACTAATGGGCCTGCACAGTAAAAAAATCTTTGTTTCAGCTGTAATAGGTAGTCTTCCACATGACAAGTGTGTGCATGTTCCATGCATCAATAAAATAAAAATCAAACGTAATGAATTCATAGAATAAACATCAACAGTTTCATATACAAAATCTAAAAGATAACATCGAGAATAAAAACCTGGGGTTGGGGAGATAGCTCAGTTGAATAAGTGCTTGCCTGGCAAAGGCTAGGGCCTGAGTTCAATCCCTGGCTCCACAAAAAAAAAAAAAAAAAAAAAGAAAGAAAAAGAAAACCTATGTGAAACTGTGATGTAAACACAAGCAAGTCTTCCATAGAAATAAGCCTTGTTTTTATACTTTTCTGCTGGATGGTTAAGACCAAGATAAAGCAAGACCTATATAACAAGAAATGTAACTTTTGTATCTGATAAGGTCAGTCAAGTACCCTCAGGATTTATCCTGTAACTCTACTGCAGTTTACAGATTCTTTGTCAGTGTCAGCCATGTGGATGAGTCACAGACCATTGCTTGACCAGTTTGCTCTCTGTAAAAGCCTGAGAGAATGTTTTCTCTCCATGTGACTCTCCTTAGGCACACTATACATCATCGATCGCATTCCTCTGTGGCTCCATAATCTCCTTGATCAGAAAATTTGGGGCACAACTGAGTTACATGATGTTACAGTACACATTCTACATTCTGAGTCTTCACTGACTGGAGCCAAAATGTTGGCTGTCCTTGCAGCCCTTCTTTTTCTCTTAATTTTTGGTCTGCAAACTTAAGTTGTTAACCCTCCAGAAGAGAAGCTTAATGCCTGTAAGATTGGCATTTGAGCTTAATTTAACCTCACTATCTGTCTGAATATGAAACATCCTTGACGTAACATGAAACAGGTATTTTCCATTGAGTATTTTTTTTTTTTTTATGAGCAGAATATATTTATTGAGAGAAAGAAAGCTCCTTCCTGAGAGAGGGACGGGGGGGGGGGGCAAGTGGGTAGTTCCCCCCCTCCATTGAGTATTGATACGTTAAATTTTAAATTCCTACAGAATGTGAAGGAAAAAAAGTAAAACAATTCAAAAAATAGGAATAAACACATTTTTACACAGAAATTTAGAAATCTATATATAGCATTGTAGTAGGAAAATCATGTGACTTTTTTTTCTTGTGTCTTTTTTTCATTTATTACCCTTTATTTTGAAAAAAAAAAAACAACTTTTACTTGAGAGACAGAATGGTAATAATTGGTATGTCGTGACAAGAAGTATGTGTGTAGAAGACCAGAATGACAGGCATTCCAAGTGTGACCCTTCTATTACACATTGCTATCTTCAGTGCAGTTGCTTGGTTTACAGGTATCAGCATGTGTAGTTAGTCAGGGTGAGAATCCTACCAGTTAACTGCTAGTTTCAAAAACCTGCTGATGTTTCTCAGGATCATTGCCTTATCCATCTTCTGCGTATAAATGTATGGTTTTGCCTCTGTCATGTTTCCCAACTTTTCTTCTTGCCCTCTCCTTGTCCAATCCTCAAGATCTTGCTTCCCTTTTAATTGTGTTAAACCTTTTTATTTGTAATTCTTTGAGTTCGTATACTAGGGAGACTATTCGATATTTACACATGTGTGTCTGGTTTATTTCTCTTATAAGTATATTTTCAAGTGGCATCCACTTAAATATGAAGGCTTTGAGTTTATCATTCTTTATAACTGAGTAATACACCATTGTATTTAAATACCACATCTTTTTCAACCATTCCTCATGTGACGGGCATCTTGGTTGTTTCCAAGATTTGGCTGTCACAAATTATGCTGCTGTAAACATAGGTACCCATATATCACTATGATACGTCGTTTTCATTTCCTCTGGGAAAATTTCCAGTAGGGGGATAGCTGGTTTGAATGGGATTTCCAGTCCTAGTTTTTTTAAGGAGTCCCTTCTTGTACTTTCTTTTTTTGTTTGTTTGTTTGTTTTCCGGAACCAGGGATTGAACTCAGGCTCTTGCATTTGTCGGGGAAGCGCTTATTTATTCTACTGAGCCATCTCCCCAGCCCCCTTCTTGTACTTTCTTGTAGGACATGATAGACATCCTTTTGGTTTTTCTGTTGTCATAATAGGTCTTTTGTGATGTTACTCCTGCCTGTTTATCCTGTTGGATAAACAATTTTTGGGGGTAGTTCCCTGGGTAGAATCATTTTTTTTTTTTTAATCTGCTATAAGTGATCTGTTATAAGCTCCAGTTCCAATCCTCTAAGAAAACCTTGCAAAATAAGGGATGTTTTGCACTTGTTATTTTCTTCATAAACTGTCAAAACTATGCCATACTTGTTTCTTTTTGAGTAAAACAACCATTTGCCAATGCTTTTTGTTTCAGTTAACATCATAGTTACTACATCAGCTACACTATAGAAAGTTTTCATCCCAAGCTTCCTTTCTTTAAGGTTTCTCTATCAGTATTTCTATCATGATACAGTGCTGACATCAGCAGTACCCGTTTGCTTTCTTTGCCATAGATAAAGCCAATATTCAGTCTTTCTGAAATCCAAAGATTGTACTATACAATTATCTGTTTTGAAATTGCAACATTTCACTTAGAATTTCAGTTTTGTTCTTGTGTACAGTCCTGTGCTGGTCAGCTTGTTCTCTGTTAACAAATGTATTATCAGTTGGAAACTGGTAAACTAATTGTGTGGAATGTCACATTATAATAGTGTGGGAAATGAGAGCAACAAATCACCACATCTTTTGTTATTACTGTACAAATAGAGACCCAATACCAGAGTTTGAGGATAAATGTGTAAATTGAAAGCATAGAAAGTGTTCTTACCTACAAGAGCGTATATTTTTATGCCATATTTTGACCTCTTGCTTTTCAGTGAGTCTTTTACATTCCTGTCATCATTAGAAATCCTTGGTAAGTGTAGCAGACCTATGAATACTTTCAGTTTAGTCATATAGATATATATGTCATATGTAATGTATTACATGTGTAACATGTATATGTGTTATGAATTTTTGAATGTGGCTATTGGTGCATACCGAATGTTTTACTTGCATTTTAAGCTTTGTGTATTTTTCATCATCTCTTAGCATTTCTTCTGTTATAGCTTAAATTAAATGGCAGTGCTAGCATTCTGTCCAGTATGTTTTCCTCCTGCTATGACCCTCACTACATTTTTAAACCCAGTGGTAACATTGAATCATTCTGTTTCGTTGTGTGACCATTTCACTGCATTTCAGCTCGTCAAATATGTACTCAGATTGTTGTTTTCTTCGTCATCTGAATGAAAGAGGTCTGCATTCCCCATGTCAGTATCAGTAGATTCTTGCTCCATTTCACTGTCTTAGGAATTTCAACTCACATGGCCAGCACCAGGGTTGTGTTCTTCACCATCATCCACCCACACCACTCTTCTATAATAAAAACATGTGTTTTACCGTAACAGACATTCGTCATTATTCATGCATGAATAGTCTGATGATTCACTTTTGACCTCCTCCAAAACTTGGAAGTCTGGCTTTTCATGTGCCATTTTATTGCTTTGGACTGATTGTACTTGAAAACCCAAAAGAAAACTTTTTTTTTTTTTAATAAATTCTAGGTTGTTGTGGGTCTATTGGATGCTCTATTGTACTTGAGTAAACATATATAAAACCAGTTAGATGGAATATAGTGTGGGTTAAAATTGCATTTTGCTACTTTGGTGCTTATATGCCCGACTTGCTCTTCATCATACCAATGGATAAACATATAAATTGCTTCCCATGTTCCTTAGGGAAAGGTATTGAGGTGCACAGCGGTGTACTATTGCACTAAAGTGCAAATTTACTGTACAAAAGTAAAGGATGGGCCTGCTGGACCCAGTGTTATGCTCCTAAGGTTTTTATTTTTATTTTTATTTATTTTTATTATTTATTTATTTATTTTTAAATATTTATTTATTTAGTGTGTGTGTGTGGCCAGTCCAGCCCACCAGGGGGTGGGGCTGGCTGGCATGTGGTGCTGGGGATTGAACCGCGGTCCCTGTGTTTTGCTTAGCTTAGCTTGCTCTAAGTAGGTGCTTTAGACCACTGAGCCATCTCACCAGCCCGCTCCTAAGGTTTTTAATAGACATAATTTAAACAATAATATAATCTATGTGTACTTTTAAAAGCAATGTCTGTTACAAGTACCTGTTGCTGTTTATTTATAGTGCTAATCCTCCTTCTGGAATTGAAGATGAAACTGCTGAAAATGGTGTACCCAAACCGGTAACATACACATAAAACTTTAAAATCCAGTTACTTTCCTATTTAAAATCTTTATCAGTGACTTTGTAGTTGCTTACAAATAAAGCAAACATTTACTATAACATAACCCCCAATATTCTGTGTGATCTGGCATCTTATATCTCTTTTATTTGGTACCATCAAAAAAAATTGATAGGACTTACGAGAATAAATAGTGGGAAGAGACTACAGAAGAAATATAGTGTGCTTAATGTGCTTTCAAAAAACTGAATGGTTGTAGATTTATTGAATAGATCATAAGTTTGTTTTTGGAGCAAATAATGAATCCTGCAGTCTAAGGTTGAGTTGCAGTTTTTTAGCAATTACCGTTTTATATATAAATAGTCCCAAATTTCATACCCATTAAATAGATGTTTTGGGAAACTTACGAATATTTGTTTGCTTTAGTTTTGTACAAACAAGGAAATTATTTTACAAACTTGAATATGAAATGTATTTTGTTTAGGTAGACTTCTTATTTACAGTATTTAAGTAGACAGTATTCTTTTAGAGCCATACCAAAACAATTCATAAATGGCTTCACTTTAAAGGCACTAGTTTTTCTGTTAGTGATTTGCATGCAGGGGTGCTTTTATGTGTAATTGAATGCAAAGAGTAAACAAATTGCTCCTATACTGTTTGGGACTTTTTAATCTTGGTACTGTGAATCTAATAGTCGTTTTCTTCTTATTTAAGTAAGAAGAAAAGAATTTCTCAAATAGTAATTTGCCAAGAATTTTCCAAAACTTATTTTTTATGGCTTTATCTGGTAGATATCTTAGTACATTGCTATGGATCATTTTTACAATAAGGGCAGTTGTAAATAGTAAGAAAAACAAATTTATCATATAGAACATTAAAGTTGCAAATGAATTGAAATACAGTAGGTAACAGCTTTATGAAATTGTAATGTGTCTTTTTTAGTTATTAAGTTTTAAAATGTATCATTGAATGCATTTTATAACTATATTGGTGCAGAAAGTGACTGAGACTGAAGATGACAGTGACAGTGACAGTGATGATGATGAAGATGACGTCCATGTCACTATTGGAGACATCAAAACAGGAGCACCACAGTATGGGTAAGTTAATATGAAAGCAACATATGTCAGATTATCAGTCCATTGTACTTAAATTTTCTATCTCATCATGATATGAAAGAACTCTTACAAAATTTCCCCACAAAGGTAATTCTTTACTAAACATAAAATTATTTACCTGGGGGGGTACATGAAAGTAGCAGTTTTGTTTGATT